CTCTACCACAAATTCAACAGGTACTTACTCTTCTACCTACTCCTCCTTAACCACATATGCTCCGATTCTAATATCAGCTCTATGTGCGATTGGTTTCTATTACTACTATCGGTCTTTGTACTGCCAGTTTTTACTCCTTTCCCTGCCTCTCTTTAGGGAAAAAGGCTAAAGGGAGGAGACCCTGGAACACTCTTGTACTAGTTGCTGCATCGGCTACTCCTTATGTTTTTCTCGCCAACGTTGTTGGCGCTTACCAGAGAGAAGTACTGTATATTGTAATTCTCGCTATACGCTCTTGATCCCGGCTACTCACCTTTAGGCCGCAGGGATAGAATAGGAGACTAGTACTTCTATAATGACTTACCCAGCCCAGTTAAGGTGGCCATAGATTTAGTGCCCGTATTAGTAACATAATGAGTGAAAGAAACGTATGAATAATATTATAACCTTCTCTGTCCCATTATAGTGTCGTATAATCTTGTCCCTTAGGGGGGAATGCTTACAATTACATTTGTTGTCACTCTACTAGCGATTCCGCTGTCTTCTTCTAGCCTTAAGGCTGCTATTACACGCCCGTTCTATACTCCCCCTTCTGCCGCTAAGGCTATGGGGAGCATAGTAGTAATCACTGTGAAATATGGCTACCGCCACTCTATTCCCCTGCGGGGTAATTGCTCTCTGGTATAGTAGCTGGCCCAATTGTATTGGGACTATATTGAGTGTATCCCTTCTAGACATTGTAATCACCGAAGGTGACCTGAATATGGATCTGGATGCAGGACTAGAATTCTACTCATCCATAGCGGCAGAATGGGCAAACGATTCTTTCCCTGAAATCCTTACAACACCTTTGGTGTTGCTATTCGTTCATCCAAGAAGGATAAGGACAATAAGGGAAACAAGAAACATCAGAGATGTTTCTTCATCTAAGAGTGAAGCAGATAAGGCCGCAGCTCAACAAGCAGCTAATATGGCTGTATATTTGGAACGTAAGGGCCCGCCTAATGTAGAAGCTGTATCTTTTAAGGCTGGGCGAGACGTTGAAGCACTAGCAATTCTTTGTAGTACATCAATGGAACCGTCCCTAATCACACTATAAGTACTCAACCAAGTACTTGGTCTAACCGGGGACCAAGTCATTACCCAATCGCTCTTCTCCGTAATCCAGAAGATTACTCCCTCTTATCCTGTACCTTCTACAGGAGTAGATCGACAGTACTGGATCCCGGCTACGCCGGAATAGAACAGTAGCAGGAACACTAGGACAAATCGAAGATGATAAGCGATTTGTAGGATGTTATCTTATCCGAGGAACAAAGGTAGAAAAGGATCGACAAGGTTTCTGACGGGCAAATCCTACATTGATCCCTGCGGCAGAACCAGTCTATAACTTCTATATCGGAGGAGCACTCAATATTCCTACACGATCTCCATTGCACCTAAAGCAAGGATATGGTACTACTATGTCTAAGTGATGAAAGGAACTACCACTATCTAATTCAGATAATGCCCTTACTATTGTTGCTTATGCATATCCTCGACCTATTCCTACTACACTTTCACATTATCATCCTAGTACACTGGCTATGGCTCTTGTGCGCTAAAGCACGTAATACCTATTCTTTACTCTACAACCTACTGTTAACCCTGTTGCTAATGTGAGCAGTAATGTAGTCACTGATGAACAACAACTACTACGATGAGAAAAGGAAGGAACAAAGGTTTCTGTATATACACGAGATGACAATGAGAATACTAGTACAAATCTTCCCTGCTAAGCAAATGATGGGCCGATTCTTGGAAGTTTCTTCAAGCTTTGGACTCAATAGTAGTAATGCAAGGAATCTAGGAACATGATACAAGCAACGATACCTCTTCACTACTATTCAACAACCAAAGGCCAAGTTGGATATTCTACCTGCTTATACCTTTAAGGAAGAGATCCAGTCTATTCTATCCCGGCTACGGCGGGATCAACATTATTACTCCTGAAATGATTGCTCACAATAAGGAGACTTATAACAACCCATTGTGTGGAGTAGATCTAAAGACAGGTCTCCCTACTTATTACTCCGCATTCCAGCAACTGTACCGAATGTGAGGAGCAGAAACTAATACACGACTATCTGGACAAAGCTTGCCTAATAAGGTACATCAAGCTACTGATCTATACCAAGGAACTACTGTTACACTTAATGAATATCCAGGTTCAGTATTCTTCATGAATAACCCAGATGATACTGTTAATCAAAACGCTATTCGATATATTCAAGCAAACACTAATAAGGCTCAACTAACTTACTCTAATGTTGGACGACCCATTATTATTACACGACTACAAGATAACCTTTCACACCAATTTAACTCACCTACCAATGCAGCACGGCATATCGCTTCTATCTTTGCCCCTAAAGGGAGGAAACACTCGATAAGAACACTATCCGAAGTTGACTAGAGAATCCAGCTAAGCAACTAGCATCTCGAAAGAGTAAGTTGTGACGAGTACAATGAGTCGATGAACTAGAATCTACCTCATAAGCCCCCCTTTACAGTAATACCACAAACCTCTATGATGTTTGCTATATTTACTGTCCACGCTATACGCTCGGACGTAGCAGAGGCTTCCCCTCTCTCCCCTTAGCGGTCAGATCGGCTCAGCTCTGCCTCTCGTACTCGCTACGCTCTACCTTATAAGTAACATATATATCATCAGTATTTAGATATATCATATACGAATACGGAAGAAAAACAATACTATTAGGTAGAAAGACAAGGAATACTATCATTGTTTAGATACAAGGAAAAGAAGGAATATACTTTCTGCATGTATGCTATTGTATAGTGCAATCTTACTAAGGCTAACTACTTTAATACATTCTGCTATGGTGGTCCAGGATGATTAATACCATTACCACAGTTAGGTTACTACTTTCGGCCAGTGGTAGGCTCTATACTGTTTTTTTGTATATGCTCCCTATACATCTGCTATTCTAATACTGTACTTATAGAGATATTATTACATACTAGTATTACAAGGTGTGTTATTACTTTCTGGATATGAGGAGATTATTATCGTGCTATTTCTTTCTGCCTACCCTCATTACTTAAGACAATAGTATACTAGTATATACTTGTTACTACTCTTATACAAAGATTCCTAATAAAGGCTAGGGCATTAAGTTACACTAGACTAGTACGGATATTACTATACGCTAGGACACTACACTATCATACAGTGGTTACTACTATACGATAGAACTGTACTATACTAGTATACTTACGGTTGACTGCTAGGAATAACTACTAATAGGTTGGAGGGACACTACTACTTACTCACACTATAGTACTGCTAGGGCAATACTATTGCAGAGTAGGATATCATATTATAGGAAGGAGGGGGAAGATAGTATAGTCTTTAGGCGATTTTCTACTATGAGTCAGTGAAACAAGACACCCTTAGCTCGAGGGGGAGGAGGAGGGAGAATATAGAGGACAACGGCAAATTGAGTTGGAGAACACATGAGAATGGAGTGTTCCAACTGAATCCTTTCTTCCATAGCCTTAGCTCTGGTGGGCTTGGTGCAACAAGTATTATCCTAAGTGCCTGTTACTCTATCTTCCTGTACAACCGAATCTCATTTGGATCATACAGTCCATACCTTACATACACTACTGACCTTACACGACGAGAATTTATGTAAACAATGCTTATTCCTACAATCTACTTCGGTCTATTCCCTAATGTAATCCTTTTTGGGGAGGTATAGCGTATCCTCCCGGCCGCTAAGGCTATGGGGTGGTGTATACCACTACCAACTACTATACGCTTTCTCGCCAACTACGTTGGCGCTTATATTCTATCACACACCTCTCGCAAACAATAATCATTTTACCGTAGATGACAAAGGGATTAGCTCAATGGTAGAGCGCTCGTTTTACACGCGATATACAGAGGTTCGATTCCTCTATTCCTTAGCGGTATTATCTATAATAAACAATACTGGCCATAATAAGCGTAGTCTTTCTGGGTTCTAGATCAAAAATAGTAGAAAGAACCTTATTACTTCTAAACAAGTAACGGTGTTGTATATTGATACCACACCAGAGACTGAAACATCAGAGATGTTTGTGAAACTTCCTAAATATGTTGTTACCATCATTCTTCACACCTGTGCTATGTGACCTTGCAGAACCTTGACAAATCGGGATGCAAGACAATGCTACACCAAGTGCTGAAGGTATCCTAGAACTTCACGACACTATCTTCTTCTACATTATCGTAATTACTACACTAGTATTCTGAATGCTGGGATCAACAGTCCTTAACTTCAGCAGTTCTAAGGCAGGAATTGCACACAAGTACACTAACCACGGAACACTGATTGAACTAATTTAAACAATCACACCTGCTTTCGGACTAGTTGCTATCGCATTCCCATCTCTTAAGCTACTCTACTTGATGGATAAGAGAGGTATACATGATAGCTATGACATCATTAGCTATGGTTTCAGTCAATAAGCTTCCATCCACTTATACTCATTCCTCATGGTACTCTGTTTAATACAGCTAACCTTTTCCTCCATTAAGCCGTATACTGTCAGTTGAGCTTACAATTCAAAAGATAGCCCCGAACCAACTATCATACCTCCTCTCTGTTCGGCCTAAATTGGCTTGGGACAGATAAATCGGCAATATATTCTGAAAGGTAAAGCTATGGAAAAACATCTATGATGTTTGCTGCTCTTTGGATTTTATGAAGGTCTTGAACAGAGAATCTTAGATTCTCAAAACAATCCTTTACTATTAAAACATCTCTGATGTTTGCTGACTCGATCCGAAACTATCCCAACACCTTTGGTGTTGTTAAACAAACTGATAAGAGCTCGAAGTCTCCCGATTAGTCCGGGTCCCCTAAGCTATTTCATTGGCCGATAAATAAGAAACATCAGAGATGTTTCTGTATACTCGATAGGATAGGTAGCTAATAGTAGCATTCTAAATTCTAATCTCAATGAGAAAGCTCTAAGAGCTTTGATGTTTGGAGTACAGGAATAAAGAGGTAGCACCTATGGTTATTTTGAATCTAGATTTCTTGACCATATTGGTTGTTATTCTTGCGAGAGATCTCACGTATTCTACGATAACTAACTATGCTTGCTAGAGGTGATCTATCTTGGTAGACATTTTAATCAAGGAGACTTAGACCGGGAACTAGAAGAGCCCTAGGAATAAAAGGATAGACTCGTATATTCGTTTGTCTTATGCTCAGGATAGTGTCATCAGTCTCGGGAGGTCCACAACCACCGTACTGGAATATTTAATCCCTCGGCAAAGCTTAGTGTAAGATCTGGCAGGAAACACC